CAACTTTCGAATGAGCGGTAGATTAAAAAAAATGTGATGACTATTCAAAATTGCTTCAATGTAGATAAGTTTATTTGAATAAATGATTTTCCATTCTATTCTATTCTATTCTAATAAAAAGACGATGCTTAAAACGTTAGGTTGTGTTTTATATATATTCATTACAAATTGTATACTAGGTACATAATTTCATTCAAATCTGGTTATAATATTTTAGTGTGTACGGGACATACTGTATAATAATAATAAATCGCGCCAACTAGTCCCAAGCTAAGCAGAGCTCGTGTTATGGGTACTAACTGATATAAAATACATTTGTTTCGTTGCCTACCATTTATTTATTCACCGCGGTTTGATTGAGTATATATGATAATGACTGATAAAAACTACTCTTTAATAGCTGAAAAATTATAAAGAATACCTTTGCTTGTAACTTCTAATATAACCCTTTTTTTATTGTATATCCTAACAACATTAGGCTGCTGATATACAGTCGGTTAGTCGTCAGTTTTCCCGAATGTAGCGACCAATTGCAACGATTACTACAATATTTGCATGCAAATAGCATTATTTTATGTGTTTTATTAGCAGAGGCTGATAAAATAAGAATGTAGGTCAGGTCAGTTAACCCACCGTAGCAAATTAACCACGACAATTTCCAAGAGAGATCGTGTGGAGATCGACCTTTTGTGACATTTCCCACCAACCCTCTCGCACGCTATCCAAAAGTAAATATTGTAATTGAAGTTACAAGTTATTCATAGTTTTATGCATGTTTTAGACTTATTAGAGTAGAAAAATAAGTGTATTAATCAGGGATAAATGTGTCTTTTTTTTATTCAATTTTTATATTTAACGTATAAAAATTGTTTAAAAAATAATTGTACATTTTATTCATATATACATTGGATCGTACTTGGACAGTTTTATTCTTTATTGTGTAATTAATATATGATTGTAATCATATTTAATTTTAACTCCTCGGATAAGTACTACAAGTACTTATTCGAGGAGTTAAAATTATTTCGAGAATGATTAAAATTTTATTAATTAGAGAAAGTGTCAGTTTTTGAACGTTATACCTAATTATTTTGAAAAAAAAGACAAATGACATAAGCTGTTTAACAAAATTAGTTGTCTGTGCTTGTAAAATCTATTTAATAAAAAATAAAAATGTTGGCTGTCACGCCACTTTTTTTGTATATAACATGTAAATTCAAAAGAAATTGATCGTATTTCGTTGACTGATTTTTCAAAATAAAATAAATTACAATTATTTAATATTAATATGTAAACTGCAAAGTTATAAATTTACAATACGTATGCAGAATTGGCGCCATTTTTATGTACCTACTATTATAATTTTAATAATTTGGAATTTTCTTTTTAAATTGTTTTTATTTTTGATTGTAGAAATAATACAATTTATTGTATTTATATATACATATATATCCAATATTTTTTATTAAATATAAGCAATATCTATTGTTGTGGTAAATGAAATTATGTTTTAATTGTATCTAATAAATCCCAACATTCGCAAATTGCATAGTAAATATTCAAACGAGTGTCATGTTATGCATAAATTTAAGGTTATTTATCTAGAAATTTACAATTAAACTACAAAATAATTACCAATACATTAAGCCAAAAACTGGGTATCATAATATTTTCTATAAAAAATAATAAGTTCGAATTTTTTTTTGTGACATGATTCGTTTATGGCAGTATGTTGGCAGTACATTTTTTTTTATTTAGTATTTTACGGCTCTGGATATTGGCTATAAAGGGAGTACATTTTTAAATTAATATTTCCTGTTCGCTATTTATACAGTAAACTGTATAATTGATATCGTCGTAGAGATTGTAAATTGTAAATATTTTTTCGCTGTGTCGAGACGTCCACGTTAAATCTGATAGTAAATCAGTTCTTCATGTTAACATGTGTTTTCTTCTCAACCTCTCCTCCATAAACTTTACTATATACTCGCCCCGGCTCAGCCCGAGTGTACATGTATTATACATATAAACCTTCCTCTTGAATCACTCTATCTATTTAAAAAAACGCTTCAAAATCCGTTGCGTAGTTTTAAAGATTTAAGCATACATAGGGACGGACAGACAACGACAGCGACTTTGTTTTATACTGATAAAAAATGGTCTGGTGGTACCTCAGCTATTATAATAGCCAAGCAGCTTACTTAGCCCTGTAGAAAAGTGTGTTTCGGTTGAAGGGTGAAATAAGGCCACAGCACAAAGATTTACTTTTTTGTTCTGTTGATAAGGCAGTAAAAGAGGATATTAGAGCAAGAGCCCACGACGGCCAGACATAAGTCTTATTAGTAAGTGTGAAAGTTCTTGTATGTGTGTCCCCAACAAAGGTAAGAACGACCCCCAAACATGAAACCTGGATCGTGGTTCCTTTGGGAGGTAACAGGTAACAAAGGTGTAAAAATTTTCATATCAAATTCGTTATTTTAAGAAACTCCATTTTTTCATATATTGTTCGTAGCAGTATTATAACTTGCGCTGCTCATTGCCAGATCTTTAGTGTGGTTCCCCCTAAACTATACCATTTTATAAATAAACTTATGTTATTTTAATAAAGCTGAAATTTATATATATTATTGAGAGAACTATTAAACTGAGTTTCCTAAATTGCCAGACAGTTTTGTAGATTCTATCATCCTACCAGACTCGTTAACACCGTATATTGGGTAACAACGGTGTATACAATTTCATATCAAATTCGTTATTTTAAGAAACTCCATTTTTTTACATATTGCTCGTAACAGTATTATAACTTGCTCTGCTCATTGCCAGACACTTAATATGGTTACAACCCCCCGCCGGACCCCCTAAACTATATTATTTTATAAATAAAGTTACGTTATTTTGATAAAGCTGAAATACATAGCAATACATGCTTAAAATATCTTCGTAAAAAATCCATTTTTCCTGTAAAGGACAAAAATGTTCATTTATGACATCACATTTATACTTCATTCATTCATTCATTCATAATTTAAGAGCTACGCTCTTGTCGATGGAGCTCTTGCCACTTTCCGCGATCTTCCATCATCCTCTTTAATTCTTGATACGACACGACTCCCATTTTGTCCTCAATTTGTTTGATGTAGCTATTCCTTGGTCTTCCCCTCCACATTTATACTTAAGTATCATAAATATATTGTTTATTTAATATTGATCTATATGGCTCTTACAACATGTAATTGAAATTAATATTTTCGAAGATTACAGATTTAAAATGTAGGAACTTAACGCTGCGACGGTACCGGCCCGGCGGCGTAAACAAAACATGTTTGTACTGTCTAATGACAAAAAAGCTGTAAACGTTGTTTATAAGGACATTCTGTAGTAGGTAGGTATACTTAGTATCAGCATTGGACCCGTACGAAGCCGGGGCGTGTCGCTAGTAAATTTAAAAGTAGTCAGATTATGTTGGTTTGTTTTTTCGTTAGGTTTTGTAGTGTATGTATTTAATGTAATCAAATTTATTAATGTTAAGTTAATGAATAAAGTGTCAAAAAAAAAACATCAATATATCTCTCTTATTAACGATATTTTTCGCCAGTCGCATTCAAGCCGTGCTAGTTAATGGTTATGTTACTCAGATACTCAATTATAAAAAGTAAATAAAGTTCAGAGTCCAGTGTTTTATGTTGAAGCTTGCATTTATTAGTAAGTGCAGTGATTATATATCCATCCCACTCATAGTTGAACCTGTGTCATATGCGTGAAAAAGAACGATGTTGAGGTCACCAAGCAAGCAGTATCATTCAAATCCCGACCTTGTCGCTGCTAAAATCACCGAGACGCCGTTTAGAAAAAGGAAAAGACCAGAAAATGACTTATCTTTTACTTTGGAAAAATTGGGAAACACACTTTCCAACAAGATGGATAGTATGATTGCCGAGTTACGAACAGAGTTTGTAAATAACATTACTTTATTAAATGAGAACATTAACACAAACATAAAAAATGAATTAATTAATCTTAGTACCGCAGTGTTACAGATAAAGAGTGAAGTTAATGAGTTGCGTACTGAATACACCAGTATGCAAACAAATATTTCGAATTTGAACAGCAAATATAATGTTCTTAGTGACGAATTATCTGCATTGAAGGATTCGCTTGAGTTTCAATACAAGGAGTACTCTGATATGAAGGTATGCATTGAAAACTCGAAACTATCGTCTATGGCTGATTATGCAGATAAATTATGTAACCTGCAAAATAAAATCGACATCATGGAACAACAATCACGTCAAAATAACTTAGAAATATGTTTTGTACCCGAAAAACGCGGTGAGAATCTAATTATCTTATTTGAATCAATTACGACAGTGATTAAATACCCAATAGAACGCAAGGACATACTAGCTATTCATCGGGTACCACATGCCCGTTCTGATGAAAATAATCGCCCAAAAAATATTATAGTGAAAGTGTCATCGCGTTACCTTCGGGATAATATACTGAGTGCGTTCCGCTTATCCAAGGGACTTAAGACTGACGATCTGAATATTGTGGGTAACTCACGGAAAATATACATAAACGAACATCTTACATTACAAAACAAAAAGTTGTTTCGAGATTGTCGTGAAGCTGCTAAGTTGCATGGATATAAGTTTGTGTGGATCAAAAATGCCACTATACTGGTTCGTAAATCGGAGACGTCGCCAATATTCGCGATCAGGTCTCAGAGTGAAATTGGAAAATTTAATAAACTTAAAGGACAAACAACTAGTTCTAATTAAATTTTCGCTAACAATAACTATGTATTCATGTATAGGTACTTATTTATTTTTCTACCGAAAACTATGTGACAATAACACCTGCAATATTAATATTAATTACACCTGTATTCACCAGGGTCATTGCACTCTATGTTTACTTTATAATGGCATGGGTATTTGCGTCGTATTGGATAGCCCTCCTCGTATTAGTACTAAATATATACTTTACTTATTAGTTACGATACCAATTGCTCATAATTTTAATTTATATGTAAAAATAAAAGCAAAATGGCTGCAATCTATATGCGACTCATTATCATATCTTGCGTTCCATCACAACATGCTTAACCGGACTTCTAATATAATAATCGCCGTCTGTCTATTTTTCATCACGTCAGTCTACTTACGGGGTATGCAAAGAACATTATGTCCTAGCATTCAACTCTTGTCCCAATCACTTTTATGTAAGAAATTAAGTATGGTGATATACCTTTGGTTGTGTGTATTGTGGCCTGTACGCATAAATATTACATTTAAAATAATCTGCTTGTTTTTAAAGTGGCGCACGACACTGTGACTGCATTATTCTATCAGAACTGTAGAGGGATTCGTACCAAACTTCAAATACTATACATGAATATTCTGTCGCATTCATATGATGTAATTATACTGACTGAGACATGGCTCACTCCACACATTGCAAATAATGAGTTTATTGAGGATCGGTACGTAACGTTCCGTTGTGATCGCAACCGTTCCTTAACTAGTAAACAGGACGGCGGCGGAGTCTTGATTGCAGTGAGGCGTGATCTGCGCCCGGTCAGTGTCACTACCGACTGCGCTGTTGGCATCGAGCACGTCATCGTTGCGCTCCCGACCGATCCACACAATAGTAAACAGCATATTATCAGTGCTGCCTACATACCGCCCCGAACGGTGGACCATGCTTATTTAACACATATTAATACACTGCGTGATATCGTGATGCGAGACGGTGTCGATTCATTTCATGTGTTGGGCGATTACAATCTGTCACATATCAATTGGATATGCAATGACCGCAATACTGGTATGGTGAGTATGGGGAGTGGTGATGTGTGTTCATATATATGTGATTTTATGGCATATACTGATTCATTTCAATACAACAACATATTAAATCAAACTGAAAGAGTACTTGACCTGTGTATATCGAACATGTCCACTGATAATTTGATGCCATGTATACCTTTGTTACCGCCTGACAAATATCACCCGCCTTTTGCGGTGTTCATGTCATTGAATACACATTTTACTCCTATGAAACATAACCTGGCTATTAAATATAAATATAATTCAGCCAATTATGACACTATAAATGAAGAGCTTTTTAAAATAGACTGGGAACTAATTTTACGTGGTCTTAGTGTCAATGAATCGGTAGACCAATTTTATAATATTATTTACACAATCATAAGAACGCACATTCCCACTACACGCCGTATGTCTACACGTTACCCTGTTTGGTTTTCTCCTGCATTAATTCATATATTTAAAAATAAAGAGAAGGCGTGGAGAAAATGGAAACAATATAGTAATATAATTGATTATGAGTTATTCTCTAAATATCGCTCTAGATTTAAATCTGAGAGTAAAAAATGTTACTTTGGTTATATTAATCGAGTGGAAGATGGGATTAAAACTAATGTTAAATATTTTTGGACTTATATGTCAAATTGTAAAAATACTTCCACAATATCGGCCACAATGCATTACGAGAATACATCTGTATCAGAACCTACAGAAATATGTAATGCATTCTCTTCCTTTTTCAATTCATCTTTTGAGCCGTCAACATTGAATCTTAAGGAATGGCATCCGAAAATTTCTTTTGCCAATAATTGTGATATTATAATTGATATCGAATTAAACCTTAAAATGATATCGAAAGGATTAAGTGACCTAGATATCTCCAAAGGACCAGGTCCAGACGGAATACCTGTAATTTTTCTTAAGTCTACAGCTAACGCTTTATCTAGGCCTCTACACATTTTATATAATAGATGCCTAAGACAGGGTATTTTTCCTACATTATGGAAACATGCTCATATAACACCAGTGCATAAAAGCGGAGATAAACACAATATTGAAAATTACCGACCAATATCTATTCTTTCTATATTGGCAAAACTATTTGAGAGCTTAATACATAATGTTATTTATCCTAGTCTCCATCGTGGTATTATGTGTGAACAGCATGGTTTTGTTAAGCGTCGATCGACTATAACTAACCTTATGATTTTTACTAATGATCTATTTGAAAATATGGATAGTCGATTGCAAACTGACGTTATTTACACTGATTTTAGAAAATGTTTTGATAAGGTAGATCATGAACTACTTCTCAATAAAATAGCTTATAACGGCATTCGAGGTGACCTGCTGAGATGGTTCTCATCTTATATATCAGGCAGAACACAGACAGTAGTCGTCAATGGTTTTAAGTCAGATATAGTCAATGTATCATCTGGGGTTCCACAAGGTTCTATCCTTGGACCTTTATTATTTGTTCTATTCATCAATGATGTAAAAAATTGCTTTCTAAATTCAAGTTTTCTGATGTATGCGGACGATTTAAAGATTTACAAAGTTATTAGAAATTTTGATGATCATATCCAACTTCAACAAGATTTAGATAGATATTCTCACTACTGCATCAATAATAAGCTGCAACTTAGTCTTACTAAATGCTGCAACATAAGTTTTACAAAAAATAAACATAAATTTAATTATAACTATAAATTATTAGACACTGATTTGAAAACCGTTACATTAGTCAAAGATTTAGGTATTTTATTGGACTCAAAGTTGCACCTCAATGAACATATAAACTCAATTAAAGATCGTGCAATGAGAATGTTTGGCTTTGTTATGCGATCTTCTTGTGACTTTAAGCGACCCTCTACACTTCTATTTCTCTATAAATCTCTTATAAGATCCCAACTGGAATATGCGACCCCTGTTTGGAGTCCGGTATTTTTAACAAATATATAGAGATGTTGGAGAAAGTACAAAGTAAATTTTTACGAACAATTGATTTTAGATGTTGTCGCCTCAGGCTATCGTACACACAACTATTAGACAAATACAGGATGCTGTGTTTGGAACGTAGACGAATTTTGCTTAATACTATGACCCTGTATAAAATTTGTGCAAATACATTTGATTGTACTGAGTTAACTAATAAGCTGTGCTACGTGGTGCCAACCAGTGTGCACCGTCGTTCGGTAAGGGTACGCCGTGTATTCTTCACCCCAACCTATCGGACGTACGCCGGTGCACGAGCGCCTCTTCACCATATTGTTGATGTATTTAACACCAAATTTCCTGATTTAGATATATTTGATTTGTCATACTTTAAATTTAAGAAAACCCTATTAGACATATTAAGTAGAAACCAGTAAATAAATAATGTATATAATAATAAGAGTAACATAACATAAGTATTAACCCGTGGATATCTGTATTGGTTTTACTATTATTAATTCATATCTATGAACTTATATACATACTACATTGTGAAACTGTTTGTATCCCAAATAAAATAAAATAAATAAAATAAAAATAAAATAAATTTTTTCACATCGATTTTTTTCAGGACGATGTTGCATCCCTATTCCGGAGACAAGACAAATTTGACATTGCCACAGATAACATAATATTACATAATGTTACCATTTTTTAAGTAGACTTGTTACACCATAGGAAATGAATATTAATTTAGTCAGAAGTAATGTGTAGCTGTTTATTTAAAACGCGTTAATACAAAATTAATAAAGTATATAATAATAAATATAGGGTTGTTGTATCAATTTTTTTTATTGACATTATTTTCACTACGTAATATTATGTTATCTGTGTTTCCACTAAAACAAAGACTGTTTTTAAAAATAAACAACATTAGGTACTTAATTTTTATTTGGTCATGTCCTATATAAAACATTTAGTTATTCGAATGTGTCATCAAATCCTTTCCTAAATTCCTAATCGTTCCTATTTATTTACCCTGCCTGTTATTAATAATATTTTTTCCCTACAATCATCTGTCCGTATTGACTAATATTTTGGGAATAAATTTATTAAGAACATGTAAATATAAATTTGTATTTTTTTTATGTATGTATATACAATTGATAAATGGCACGTGTTGTCTATTGTATGTCAGAAATGACTAAAGTCTAATTAATTTAATTTTTTTTAAAATTTCATTTCATACTACGATAGTGTGCACAAAAACAATTTTGTGTTAATCAAGTCAATATTAAGTTAATCGCATACCCCAAGAACACAAATACATCCAAAAATGTAACAGTTGTTTTTAATTATCTATATAGATATAATTATCTATGGTAATCCATTACTCCTAACAAAATCCTTCTTGTACCCGACGGGCTTAGGCAGCTAACGCTAGAAAAAGGACGAGCTCCTTAGAATCATATAGGTGCTAAGGGCCCTTAATAAAGAAAATGTTATAATGTGATGTGGCAATTGTAACGAATCTGCATTCCAAATGAGTAGTAGAATAAAAAATAATGTGACTATTCAAAAGTGCTTATATTAAGTTTATTTGAATAATTTTTTGTAACACCTTTCTTAAAATATTATCCTCGTTCCTACGCATTACATGTCCACAACATAACACTTTAACACTATTATTTACAATTTACAGAACACATACATGACACACACTTTTTCAGTTTTTTTCAGAGTGACAATAAACAAGGAGGGTAGCCCTAGTAACCACTCTAGTCATAGACTTTATACTAGCGCTATTCAACCTTAACAACAGTCACCAATAATATTGCTCTTTTTTTTATATTTATTTTAATTATTATTTTCACATACTCTGAAATGGGTTGAAGCTGAAAATCAGTGTTATGTTCCCTGAACAATGTTCCACGCTGAGCTTCGACCTTTTTGTATTGCTACAGATCACACATAATAACACAAACTTGTAAATCTTATGTCGTATTACGTACTGTCTATTCTTATGAACATATTGTGTGTGATTAATAACAAATAAATAAACGATATATCTATCTATCTAAATACACCAACACCTACACAACCACAATTATTTGATTTTGAGGCGTCTGTGAATGCCATCCATTTCATTGCGTATCTATTACAAATTTGAATTTAGTTGTCTGTACTCTATATTTTTTTAAAATTCGTCATTATTATTAATTCCGTAATGTCATTATTAGTATTAGGAAATAAAGTTAGAGATTCATGTTAGCATTTCTAAACTGGAAAACAAGAGTAAGCGAACATTGGTGCAAATATCCCTTTATGTTTTTCATGCTTTTTATTAAACATACCTAATTGTTGCGAACTATTTGTATACCTTTTTTATTATCTATGTTTTTTATAATATTATTATATTGTTTTTATATGACATAAGTCATTAATATACAAACTTTGATGTTGGCAAATACACCATAGTGCCAAGCCATTACAAAAGAAAAAAAATACAAATATTTTACGACTATACCGGCGCCGTTTTCTTTTGCTGTCCGCGTGTCGTCTTGGTCTCCATCCTTCACAATAGTGGTTCTTTGTATCCAATAGGAAGATGAGTAAATATTCTGATGTATTCGAGGAAATTTTGTGATAAGTGGAAGATCAGACAACTGTAAGCAGCGAACATGAAAACGATCAGCTAGATATTACCTTCTTAAATTTCGATGTGGAGGTCAATTAGTGGTACGCGTACCCCCAGGGGTACGTGAAATTGCATCATGTTTGTAACACCAAAATAACATTTTTTACAATTTTCGTCTGTCTCTCTGGACTTCTGGGCGCCGCAGTCGCCCCTTTGTGACCTAGAACTATGAGATTTGGCAAGTGAGATCGTTATAGATCACAAGTACAGGAATAAATCTGAAAACTGAACATTTGAGATAAAATCTTAAAAGAAATATATTAATATATGAATATTTAGTTACCTCGATGATATAATCATATTCGCCTATAACGTACGTAAAATGTTTTATTTTTGTTTGCTGGTACGGAACCCTTCTAGTGCGAATCCAATTTATTTACTTAATAACAGTTTAGTGGGGGGAAAGGGAATTGTTAGTAATGTGGATTGATTATCTTATTGCTAGCAATGTACCATGTCAGGTTGACCTCCACGCGGTTCCCCCTGGAAACCATCGTGATAAATTCTTGGTGAATTTGTCACGATGGGCTAACTGACCTGACCTCATGCTCATTTTATCATCCTCCACTGGTGCCCCGCCAGCGTAAACCGTTAGCGCAGGCGGGTGCACTACTCCATTATCATTTATAAAAAAAAAAAATAACAGTTTAGTTACCAATATTTACAACAACTGCTACTGTTATCACTAAATATATAATTAAACAATTAAACTAGCTTACAATATATAAATAAAACTAATCCTTATATACAGTAAAATTAAATTAAAAGAAATCCAAAAAAACACTTCCTGTGTTAAATAAATTCGAACGTTTCCCGCGCTTTTTCCATTACTATTTTGGCAACTTTTTACAATTTTTAAATAGGATTGTTGCACTATCGGAAATTAATGTTAACTTATTCAGAAATGACGTGTGGTTGTTTATTTAAAATGCAGGAATACAAAGTTAATATTGTATTGGCATTAATAAATATAGGGTTGTTGTATCAATTTTTTCCTATTGACATATTTTTCATTACAATGAAGACTGCCTTTTTAAAAACAGAATGACGTTCGTATTTGTTTATATTTCATAAAACATTTGAATGAAAAATAAAACTTTGGTTTTTAGCTTAATACTGAAAAAATACTATATCTTCGGAAACTACTAAAATGTATTTTTGTGTTGTATAATACAAAAGGACACTAACGGAAACACGTAAATAAGTAATACGCAAGTAAATTATCAATTTTTGTATATGACAAGCGAATTATGGCTGTATGTGTATATGTGCTGGTAGTTTCCATCAGCTTTTATTATTTAAAAAAAAAACAACCTGACAAATTTTGCCAGTTTGTCGAAGCAAATGTCATATCACAGAGTACTTTCTAATTATTTTTTACGATAGAGCCTGTATAATTGTTTTGATTTTTCTATGTTCTTTGATTCTTTGAGTTTTTAGTTGTGGATAAAGTTTTACTATATTTCCTTACTATTTATCAAAACGTAATTAAATAAAATGTCGAAATCTGCTCACATAGTCGACGGCGAAGCTTCAGAGTCCTCTGATTCTGAAATTGAAATCGAAATTGGTAAACCTCGGGTGAGTACAAGTTTATATTTTTACTGGCTTTTGCCCGCGGCTTCGCTCGCGTTGATTTATACTCTTAAGGGTGGAATTCATCAAAATCCTTTCTTAGGGGACGCCTACGTCATAGTAACTTTATGCATGTAAAGTCTCAGCCCGATCGGTTTGAAATTGACAAAGTTTCACACAAACTTTCATCCCCTATTTTATCCCCTTGGGGGTAGAATTAATCAAAATCCTTTCTTAACGGATGCCTACGTCATAACTAACGTGACCATTTATTCTTTGACTCAAAACGGGACATTTATTTATATCAATTAATAGACAGTCAATAAAGGAAACAATTTATTAAAGCTAATTCTTTAAAAAAAAGTATTACCCCCATAAAAAGGGAGATGTAACATATATAAAAGAATAATAATAATTAACTCTTTATTGTGTCCACAAAATAAACAATAAGAAAATACAGTAAATAGAAAAGTAATTACAATAGGCATTCTTCACGCTATATGCAGTCTCTTAAAGACAACCTAGAAGAGAGAACATATCGTCGATTAAATAGAAAAATGACATTTTTCAAAATTATAAGCTAGAATTGCCTCCTTTTATATAAGTCAATTAAATTAACCACGCCGTCTTAATCATTATCTAAATACTTTTAAAATGACATATGATACTTCTTTGTAAATTTAAAACTTTAAAAGGAAAAATAATTTAAATTAATTTAAAAACTTTAATTGCTTGTCTCCAAGACAATATAAAAATGGCACGTTTTTTTATATTCACCTTAATTATCAACAATAATCTACATCACAACCGGCCCGCTCGACTAAACATATTTTCACCGAGTTTCCAAAAACGGGACAATTTTGCGTCCCAGAGTTAATTTCGGGGACACCGGGACTTGTTGTTATAAAAAGGGACAGTCCCATTTAAAACGGGACGTCTGGTCACGTTAGTCATAACATCTACCTGCATGCCAAATTTCTGCCCGATCCGTCCCGTGGTTTGGGCTGTGCTTTGATAGATCACTATATCAGTCACCTTAGAGTTATATATATTTAGAAGATTGTTATTAATACTACTTTTTAAATTATTTGAATAAGGAATAATGCAGAGATAGTATATGCTGGCGGCACACTACACGAGTGTAGGTAGCCAAATAGGTAGAGTATGTAGTTATGTCAATTAGCCCATTTTATATATACATATAAATAAAATTATAGTGCCTGTAACACCAAAATAACATTTTTTACAGTTTTTGTCTGTCTCTCTGGACTTTTTTTGGCAGGTAACTGATGTACTAAGGAGTAACATAGTAATTTTATTTTAGAAAAATAAAGTTAAATGAAGTCGCGGGTATAGCTAGTCCCACATAAATAAAAGAAATGGTAACCAAACAAAAAGAAAACGAAGTTGATTTGCAATAGATGGGAGATGAAATAAGGTTAACAGTCAGCCCCAACTAGAGAAGGGAAGCCCGAAATAGAGTACACTGAAAGGACTGTGCTTGACAGGATGGAGTGTAAACTTTCCAAAGGAAATACAATCATACTTACGCCATATTTTAATTTTATTTTATTAACAGTTTGCGCTGGTGGGCAGTGAAGGATGATAAAATGAATATGAGGTCAGGTCAGTTAGCTCATTGTGACAAATTCACCAGGAATTTATCACGATGGTTTCCAGGGGGAACCGCGTGGAGGTTGAGCTGACAGGGTACATTGCTAGCAATAACATCATCTTTCCACATTACTAACAATCCCCTCACCCCCCCCCCCCCCCCCACTTACGCCATGTTAGGTTCTTGAAATACATGACTTAAATCGATATGACGTAAGTCATAGACATATTTTTTCATATGTTTATAATACATGTAGAACTCAAGGGTTTTTTTTTTTTAATGATAATGGAATGGTACTCCCGCCTGCGCTAACGGTTTACACTGGCACTTACAAGATGATAAGATGAATATGAGGTCAGGTTAGTTAGCCCATTGTGACAAATTCACCAGGAATTTATCACGATGGTTTCCAGGGGGAACTGCATGGACGTCGTGGTATTTTATTGTAAATTTTTATACCTATTCCCAGGGTGGGAAGGTCTCCAGCAAGGTGGACCGACGATCTGGTCAAGATCGCTGGAAGGGATTGGATGCGAGCAGCGCAGGACCGATCGTCGTGGAGATCTTTGGGGAAGGCCTATCCTAGCCTATGTCCAGCAGTAGACGTCTTCCGGGCTGCGATGATGATTCCCATAAAAAACCTATTGATTTTTTCATAGGATGTGTAGTATCGTTTCCTCTTCAATTTTAGATACAAGTGAACTCCCTCATCGTCTTTTAAATTATTATAATTAAATATTATTTATATTACAGGCTATGCCTTCACAAAATGTGGATAATTTTGTCATAACTGGAGAAGCGCCGGAGTCTGATGATGGTATTTCTGATTTATTTATTTATTTAGAAATAGAAATAATCTTTATTCAAATAAACTTGATATAAGCACTTTTGAGTAGTTAATTTTTTTTTGTTCTACCGCTAGTATAACATTCTAACAGTGAAAGAATTTTTTAAATTAGATCAGAAGAATCGGATATACCGCAAACAAACAAACATACAAACCTAACCTCTTGATAATTTTAATTATTTTATTTAATTGATTAATTTTTATTCAACAAGAATTTTGGTCCTTCGAGCCGGAGTAATTTGATTGATTTTATTCCAGATTCCAAAATGTCCCCAAGAGATCCAATTGAGCTGGATCTCCCATTAAACATGGTGGCATCTCCACCAACCAGCCCCAACAAGCTAGTGTACACTTCATTGCTGCATCAGAAATTATGTATGTATCAATCTATTGTAACTTTTTTTTAATCTACCGCTCAATCGGAAATCTGTCTCATCACAAGAAGAACGAGCAGGAAATTTGCGAGTTGCTGTTTTAAATATTTTTATTCTTACTTTACATTTTTAAGTTTAAGTGTGTGAATACAGACTACCAATTAGCACTAATTCAATTTGAGTATTTAACTCAAATAGAAAAAATATCGAATATACAACCAACTGGTTAAAAAATTAATAAGAGGGAATCAGTCATAGTTATTAGAGCAGACCAGTCCCTACAAGCAGCACCCGTTCACGAGTATAACGGATGATAGTAAAGCAAATACCTCATGAATTTATCGAAATATGAAAGTGAAATAGTGATTTTTATTTTTAAACTTTCGAGTTTAGTTCATATCAATATACAATTTTATGGCAAATAAAAATAAATATTCGGGTCATTGAACTTCCTAAAATATGGTCGAGCGCAGTGATGGCTGGCTCATACACATTTGACAAAGTGAGATAGAAGTTACATTAAATTTTAAACTTGATCCAACCAGCCAAAGAAATTTCTTACATCTAAAATTCTCGTGTCACAATGTTAGTTACCATACTCCTCCGAAACGGCTTGACTGATTTTTATGAAATTTTATATACATATTCAGTAGTTCTGAGAATCGGCTAGTATCTATTTATCATACCATTTAGTGATAAGGGTTGTCCACCCCTAAAATTTTTGTTTTATAGTTTGTACAAAATTTTGTTTTACAAAACTTTTTTTTATAATGTGTCAAAATTTTCACCTTTCTATCACCAACTCCTATTTTTAAATAGCGATTTTAATTTATTTAATAAAACGTTTATAGAGCCAGATAGTTTAAAGAGCATAACATAAACAGCTTTTTTTTATTTGTCCGATTTATATTTTTTTTCCAGGGGAATGTAACGTGTCCCTGCGAGCGAACATTGAAGGTCTTGTAAGGCATACTACAGATATTTCCGTTGAGAAATTAACCAGTGTTGATAAAACTTTGCTAAATGTACAGGTTAGTCACATTCACTTTTAAATTCTAACACATGAGTATTGGGCTAAGAGTCACACATGAGTATTGGTCAAAAAGTAACACATGAGTATTGGTCAAAAAGTAACACATGAGTATTGGTCAAAAAGTATCACATGAGTATTGGGCAAAAAGTAACACATGAGTATTGGTCAAAAAGTAACACATGAGTATTGGTCAAAAAGTAACACATGAGTATTGGTCAAAAAGTAACACATGAGTATTGGGCTAAGAGTCACACATGAGTATTGGTCAAAAAGTAACACATGAGTATTGGTCAAAAAGTAACACATGAGTATTGGTCAAAAAGTAACACATGAGTATTGGTCAAAAAGTAACACATGAGTATTGGTCAAAAAGTAACACATGAGTATTGGGCAAAAAGTAACACATGAGTATTGGGCAAAAAGTAACACATGTTTTTTTTCTTTCCAGGAGAGTATGCGAGCAACTAATGCCAATTTAGCGCTGGCTAAAGCAAGACTCAAGCAGATAACAGAAGCATTAGATAAAGCGAACTGTTCCTCAGCTTTACCGACTGTGAAAGTGAAATAGTGATTTTTATTTTTAAACTTTCGCGTTTAGTACACATCAATATATTTAAAAAAAATTATGGTAAATAAAAATAAATATGCGGGTCATTGAACTTCTTAAAATATGGTCGAGCGCAGTGATGGCTGGCTCATACGTCATACTCGTGAACGAGTGCTGCTTTTAGGGACTGGTCAGCATTAATCACTACAACTGATTTAATTTTAATATGTATGTGTTTGACCCTAATAAATTAGTGCTCGTTGGCAGTTTGTTTTCAGAGGTTTCAACTTAAAAATGTAAAGTTACAACAATTATTTAAAAGAGAACACGCAAGTTTCTCGTTCTTCTTGTGATGAGACAGCTTTCCGAATGAGCGGATTAAATGAAGTTTTGTATTATATATATAAATATATATATGGTTGAGTGCAATGATGGCTGGCTCATCCGTCATACTCGTGAATGGGTGCTGCTTGTGGGGACTGGTCAGTTTGGTTACGAACGTTACGAACACTGATTAGACTATTTGCTTTTGCAATAGCATATGCTGGTGGTCACTATATTCACCCAAATTTGAATTTAAAAATGAAGTGATTTCGAAATGAGAAGAACTGACAAAAAACTCAGCTCGTATTCTTTTCAAATAAATGTTATAGATGTTTATAATACAGACTATAAACATCTATAACATTTATTTGAAAAGAATACGAGCTGAGTTTCTTGTCAGTTCTTCTCATTTCGAAATCACTCCGAACTGACGGTAGATTTGACATATCATAAGAGTCTGTAATAGACCTACATGTATAAACATATTTTGAAATGATAACTATGACTATTCAAAAGTGCTTGGATTAAGTTTATTTGAATTAAAAAAAAATCATTACTATAAAATTATTCATGTTAAAAGACTTAACTAAATTATTAATCAAATAGTGATATTAACACATTGTTTTTTTTTTCGGACTACTCTAATGCTGTTGGCCGCAGCTGGCCTTTACAGCTTCACCGGACGATAGGGGGCGAGTGCAGATGGCACTCCAAACCCGCGGAAGGACTTATGGAGCGGCTGAAGGCCAACTCCCGCCTGATGTATACGAACGCATTATGTTAGTGGGGCAGGTATTTGTACCCGTTCCGAGGATTGCCACTTATAAGCGGGGTAGGTACTACAACTCATTTAGACATGTTATCCTTTGTTTATGCCCAATTTACACTCAGCCCGAGTGGGCAGGGAAGTGAGCAGCGCGAGAGTGGAAACACTTCCCATGCCTTTGGCGCTGCCACTCGCGCTTCCCGGCGCTCCCTGGATTGTCGGTTTTTCGTGCGCGAGTCAAAGGACTGGCAGCGCGTTTTTACTTTCAGCCCTCTCGCTCAGTTGTCGCCCGGCAATATTTCCTGCAGCGCGTGTAGCAGGGGAAGCGGCTGAATGTAAACGTAGAATTAGAAATTAAAGATCGAGGAGAGACAGAAGTCGTTGGTACAATAGTAGTGATTTATGAAATCTTAAGATTTAAAAAGAAGTTCTTTTTGTTATTTACTCGTACTGTAACTCTCATAATGTATTAATAGACGGCCTCGGTAGTTTAGCGGTGTCGACGCTTTTCGATGATCGCGGGTTCGTTTCCTCGTACAGTACAAAGATTTGCATTCATGAGTATGATTATACAAACGTATAGGTTTGGGTGTTTGCTATATATATTATATATTTACAATAAAGTTTTTGTATCAATAGTCTAATACCCATAACACAAGCTCAGCTTAGCTTGGGACTAGATGGCGCTGTGTGCATGACTAGGATTATTATTACAATGCATTAATTTTATTTGTTATCATTGAAAATAATATTGATTTGATTTTAAATAAAAAGTGTTAATTATTTATTTGTTACAAAAAATTTAATAAAACGTAATACAAAATAAAAAAGTATTTTATTTGATTAAATAGTATATCCGGCTGTGTCGTATCCCCACTTTGTCATTTCCCCGTCGACCCAGTTCCTGAAGGCGGGAACGTTGACATATACCGCGGGAACGTCTTTCTCCCCGCAGCCTATACCCCAGGCCACAAGTCCGGTCAGTTTGTACCGATCGTCTCCTATAGGACAGGCTAGGGGTGCACCTCCATCACCCTGGAACAGTAAAGAACAGAATAAAATAATATTAGGGGGGGGATTGTTAGAATATCATGTCAGATCGACCTCCACGCGGTTCCCCCTGGAAACCATCGTGATAAATTCCCGGTGAATTTGTCACGTGCTAACTGATCTGACTTCATGTTCATCCTATCATCCTCCACTGGTGCCCCGCCAGCGTAAACCGTTAGCGCAGGCGGGTGCAACATTCCATTATCAACCTTTAAAAAAAAATTAATAATATTTATTATTTAACAATGATGTTGCCCAGAGCAGCATATACTTTTTTTTCAATATCTTTATTCATGTAAATGTATTACAGACTAGTCAGTCAAATCTACGATCTATCCGATCTATCCGTACACAACCTTGTCTGTTGACTGTCTGAGGCTGTCGCCAACAGCCCATCCGCTGACGACAGCCTCTGTGACGATTGCAATATTTTACAAAAAAAATATATCGCCCTGGTGCACTACAAAAACACCAAACAAAGCTCGGTCGCCCCGGTCCCCACCAGCGCAGCTATAGAGACACTACAATAACACCAAACGAAGCTCGGTCGCTGCGGTACCCAGAGAACCAGAACACATCCTTGCTCCATCTGTTGGCGACAGCCTCTGTGTTGATTGCAATATTTTATAAAAAAAAAAACCAAGCAAAGCTTGGTCGCCCAGGTACTTTTCAGGTGACAATAGGAACAAACAATACAAATCACCAAGCGAAACTCAGTCGCCTCGGTACCTAAAATCAAATCAAATTGAAAATATCTTTATTCATGTAGGTCTATTACAGACTCTTATGATATGTCCAATCTACCGTCAGTTCGGAGTGATTTCGAGATGAAGAACTGACAAGAAACTCAGCTCGTAATCTTTTCAAATAAATGTTGTACATGCTTACAATAATACAGATTCATTTAAATTCAAATTTGGGAGAATAGATTGACCACCAGCATTATTGTCCTTATTAATATTATAAATGCGAAAATAACTCTGTCTGTCTCACGTTCACGCTAAAACTACTAAACCGATTTAAATGAAATTTGGTACACATATAGTCTAGACCAGGGTAGGCGAACATTTATGCATCAACGTGCCATTTTTTCCAAAAAATGTTTAATGTGGTCATTGACGTGCTATCAAATAATTTTGTCTTTCTGATTATTTGGAAAATAATAATAATAAATGCTATCAAAACTCTCTATGAAATAAAGTAAACAAAAGAGGTACATTTTGGATTGTTTTCATTACACGCATAAATTAAGTTACTGTAAAATTAGTGTGACTTCTGTTGCTGCAGGTTAGATGACAAATTATTTATGTCAGGCTTGTACGATGTTACTTTTAGCAAAGTGCATGCTGAACTGGATTCATCTGTCAAAGAGTTTCTAACCGAGTTCATGTTATTCATCTCTGAAAATAATGACTCGCAGGCATAGGTAGGTGAAAATATTGTTAAAAAAGCATGAGCCAGTTTCTTCAAACAGTTTTATGATCGACGACGTAATATTGTGTCGCGTGCCGTCAATGGCATGCGTGCCATTGGTTCGCTTACCCTGCTCTAGACTCTGAGAAAGGATATAGGCTACTTTATAATCCGAAAATTGTTGATATGACGCGATTGATTATGTCTTTAACTTGCTTGATATAACTGTGCTTTGGTCTTAGAGAGGGAGGGGCCTCTCTTTCTTATTTTTCCCTCAATAATAATTTTATAAAAGCATCGTGCCGTATCAAGTGTCCCAATATTTTTCCGAGTCTATTTTCTAGTTGGTAATTCGATGAGGGATCGATCGGAGGGGCGCCCGGGGGCGCCGGTGTGGAGCGCCCGAGCTCGAGCAGGCGCCCGGTTGAATGCGCGATATGGTGTGTTGGGGGTCGTCGTTTTTGCCGGCGAGGACGGTGTCGTGTGTGTGTGGAAAACTGTGATCGGGGTGGGTTAGTAATCACCTGACAAGTATCCTTGCCTTCTTCTCCACCAGCACACACGAAGCTGGTGTGAAGTTTGAACTTGGGCCCGAGCCGGGTGGCCTTCAATTGCTCGTTGCACTTGGTGTACGGTACCATATCCACCTCCACCTTCTTGAGGATGACGGCATAACGTCCCTGGAGACCTGGAAAATATTTCATGTTGATGTAAAACAAGTTACAAGAAAATAATAACCCACGACAGGGGTGAAAGGGGATTGATAGCAATATACCATGTCAGGTTGACCTCCACGCGGTTGCCCCTGGAAACCAACGTGATAAATTCTTGGTGAATTTGTCACGATGGGCTAACTGACCTGACCTCATGCTCATCCTATCGTGGAGGCGCAGGCGGGTGCACCATTCCATTATCATCCATAAAAAAAAATAACCCGTAACAATTCACACAAAAAGTTATGTGTGCATGATGCTTTGCTCGCTCGATCGTGGAGGCGCAGGCGGGTGCACCATTCCATTATCATCCATAAAAAAAAAAATAAACCATAACAATTCACACAAAGTTATGTGTGCATGATGCTTTGCTCGCTCGATCGTGGAGGCGCAGGCGGGTGCACCATTCCATTATCATCCATAAAAAAAAATAACCCATAACAATTCACACAAAGTTATGTGTGCATGATGCTTTGCTCGCTCGTGTACTTTTCATGATAATTGGGATATATAACACCAAGCGAAGCTCGATTGGCCAGGTACTTTTCACGTGACCATAAACGCATCGTACAAAGACATCAAATGAAGCATCAGATGTCGCCCCGGTCCTCACCAGCGCTGCCATAGGGACACTACAATAACACCAAACGAAGCTCGGTCGCCCCGGTACTCACAGAACCAGGACACATCCTTCCCTTGGCGACAGCTTCTGTGTTGATTGCAATATTTTACAAAAAAAAACACCAAGCGAAGCTCGATCGCCCAGGTACTTTTCACGTGACAATAGGAACAAACACTTCATAAAACAACAAGCGAACCTCGGTCGCCTCGATACCTACAAATCAAATCAAATTGAAAATATCTTCATTCATGTAGGTCTATTACAGACTCTTATGTCAAACCTACCGTCAGTTCGGAATGCTTTTGAGATGAGAACTCACAAGAAACTCAGCTCGTATTCTTTCAAATAGGGTTACAATATTACGGAGTGATTTTTAAATTCAAATTTGCGAGAATACAGTGTCCAGCAGTATATGCTATTGCCAAAGCAAATAGTCTAATCAGTGTTCGTAACCAGAACAGACCAGTCCCCACAAGCAGAACCCATTCACAGTTTGATGGATGAGCTTATGTGGTGTTGTGTGAGATTCTGTGAAGTTATGGGCACAGGTCCCTTTTCCCCACTGGGCATATTAGGCACGTGCCCAGAGCCCCGCGATGGATTGAGGCCCCCTAGTCTAGTCTAGTCCTACTCCATTACCAAATGATAACTGATAGCTACTCTACTCTCGCCTGAAGATCAGTCTTAACAAATGCTTACCGACTATGGTCAATTTGTTCGTTTTTGTTGTTTTTTATAAATGTCTAGCAAGAACTTGAACACCTCATCACATAACGACATTTTAAAATTATTATTGTCTGGTTTGTTTTGAAGGTAGGGTATCCCATTCCTAAATTATTATTGCCTGGTTTGTTTTGAAGGTAGGGTAGCCCATTCCTAAATTATTTTTGGTTTGTTTTGAAGGTAGGGTAGCCCATTCCTAAATTATTATTGCCTGGTTTGTTTTGAAGGTTGGGTAGCCCATTCCTAAATTATTTTTGTCTGGTTTGTTTTGAAGGTAGGGTAGCCCATTCCTAAATTATTTTTGTCTGGTTTGTTTTGAAGGTAGGGTAGCCCATTCCTAAATTATTATTGTCTGGTTTGTTTTGAAGGTAGGGTAGCCCATTCCTAAATTATTTTTGTCTGGTTTGTTTTGAAGGTAGGATAGCCCATTCCTAAATTATTATTACCTGGTTTGTTATGAAGGTAGGATAGCCCATTCCTAAATTATTATTGCCTGGTTTGTTATGAAGGTAGGATAGCCCATTCCTAAATTATTATTGCCTGGTTTCTTTTGAAGGTAGGGTAGCCTATTCCTAAATTATTATTGCCTGGTTTCTTTTGAAGGTAGGGTAGCCCATTCCTAAATTATTTTTGCCTGGTTTGTTTTGAAGGTAGGATAGCCCATTCCTAAATTATTATTACCTGGTTTGTTATGAAGGTAGGATAGCCCATTCCTAAATTATTATTGCCTGGTTTGTTATGAAGGTAGGATAGCCCATTCCTAAATTATTATTGCCTGGTTTCTTTTGAAGGTAGGGTAGCCTATTCCTAAATTATTATTGCCTGGTTTCTTTTGAAGGTAGGGTAGCCCATTCCTAAATTATTTTTGCCTGGTTTGTTTTCAAGGTAGGGTAGCCCATTCCTAAATTATTATTGCCTGGTTTCTTTTGAAGGTAGGGTAGCCCATCCCTAAATTATTATTGCCTGGTTTCTTTTGAAGGTAGGGTAGCCCATTCCTAAATTATTTTTGCCTGGTTTCTTTTGAAGGTAGGGTAGCCCATTCCTAAATTATTATTGCCTGGTTTGTTTTGAAGGTAGGGTAGCCCATTCCTAAATTATTATTGCCTGGTTTCTTTTGAAGGTAGGGTAGCCCATTCCTAAATTATTTTTGTCTGGTTTGTTTTGAAGGTAGGGTAGCCCATTCCTAAATTATTATTGCCTGGTTTGTTTTGAAGGTAAGGTAGCCCATTCCTAAATTATTATTGTCTGGTTTGTTTTGAAGGTAAGGTAGCCCATTCCTAAATTATTATTGCCAGGTTTGTTATGAAGGTAGGGTAGCCCATTCCTAAATTATTTTTGCCTGGTTTGGTTTGATGGTAAGGTAGCCCATTCCTAAATTATTTTTGCCTAGTTTGTTTTTTTGTTTTGAAGGTAGGGCATCCCCATATACATCCCTAAAGAGTTGTAGGCTACCAACCTCCTTGCATAAACTAGCCATATAACACAAACACATTTAATAAAAAGTATATTGTCGAAATGTCAAATTGATTCGCTTGCAAATGACTGATCTAAATGAGTTGTTAAATTAATTATTATTTGTTATTTTTAATTCTGATATTATATACACCGTCATATATTCAATCTTTTATTAATATCACTCCTTCTGTATATCAACACGCCAACCATAACCACACTGGTGACACCCTATTGAACATTTTTATTTGGAAAATTTGGAAGATAAAATATGACAGAGCAGCACTACATCTACAGTACGAGACGGTATGTCATCTGAAATTTTTAAAGTAGCAATTAAAGTACCACCCTTTTGGCCCGAAGAGCCGGAAATATGGTTTGCTCAGGTGGAAGGACAATTCGCTATTTCAAAAATTACCAATGATTTAACCAAATTTAATTACGTAATAGGTCAACTCGACCAACAATTTTCTAAAGAGGTAAAAGACGTAATTATCAATCCGCCTGTAGAGGGAAAGTATGACAAGCTCAAATCAGAATTAGTTAAGCGTCTCACTGCATCAAAGGATAAAAAGGTGAAACAATTATTAATGCATGAGGAGCTGGGAGATCGCAAGCCCTCGCAGTTTCTAAGACATTTGCAGAGTTTAGCTGGACCGAAGGTACCGGATGAGTTTCTTCAAACGATTTGGACCAGCCGTCTTCCTGCACGTATTCAGACCATCCTTATAGCACAAACTACGGCTGATTTAGATGTATTAGCGGATCTAGCTGATAGAATCATGGATCTCACGCCATGTTCACCCCACGTTGCTGTCATGAGTCGTGATGGTGCAGGCCCTAGTTCCAGTAATATGGCGAATGAAATAGCGGAGTTGCGTAAACAAGTGAAGTCACTCACTATGCAATTGGATCGTCGTCAGCGCTCTAGGTCTAGGAATTCACATTCACAACGTAGCCGATCAGCATCAAGGTCCCATACCAATTATAAAAAGTTTCCCGTATGTTGGTATCATCATAAATTTGGTAGCAAAGCGAACAAGTGCGTAAAACCATGCGACTATAGTCAGGAAAACTAACAAGGCAGTCGACAGTGGCGACAAGCGATTGCCCAATTTCCAGTAGTCGCCTTTTCGTTACGGATCGGAATACAAAGACTCAGTTTCTCGTTGATACCGGAAGCGATCTCTGCGTCTTTCCTCGATCACTACTACGAGAACGTCGCACCAAGACCAATTATCAACTGCGTGCCGCCAACGGAAGCGTCATCGATACCTACGGCTACGCACATTTGAATCTGGACTTGGGACTACGTAGGCAATTTCCATGGAGATTTGTAGTTGCTGATGTAACTAAGTGTATTATAGGTGTAGATTTTTTATCATTTTATAATTTAATTGTTGACTGTTATAATCAATGTTTAATAGATAATACCACTACACTTACTGCGAAAGCTACACATTCACATCCTTCCAACACAATTCAATCTATTAAAGTTTTAATAGGTGATTCTAAATTTCATAATATTTTGGCTGAAATTGCTTATTTTCTCCCGATCTGATGCAGAGCATGAACAACATTTACGTACAATTTTTACTAGAATGAGAGAGTACAGTATAATAATCAATACAGCTAAATCAATTTTAGGTGCATCAGAAGTTACATTTTTAGGTTATCGAATTTCTGAGAAAGGTACAAAACCACTTGACACTAAGGTGCAAGCTATTAAGGATTTTCCTCCGCCAAAAGATGTCAGGCAGCTTAGACGGTTTTTGGGCATGATAAATTTTTATAGGCGTTTCTTACCTCATGCTGCTCAAACACAGGCACCCCTCAATTCTCTTTTAGCAGGTTCAGTTAAAGGTTCTAATCCTATAAATTTAACAGGAGATACTCTGAAAGCTTTTGAATCTTGCAAAGAAAGCCTTTCCAATGCTACACTTTTAGCCCATCCTGATTGCGAAAGTAATCTCGCGTTAGTGACTGATGCTTCAGATACAGCTATAGGTGCAGTATTACAACAACTTAAGAATGGCGTTTGGGAGCCTTTAGCATTCTTTTCTCAAAAACTCAGTCCATCTCAACAAAAATACTCACCATATGACCGGGAACTGTTAGCAATTTATGAAGCAATAAAATACTTTCGTCATATGCTCGAAGCTAGACATTTTATAATTT